ATTATTGTGTGGCATAATGTGCAATGTGCATAATGAGGACAGATCAGAACAGAACATCACTTTATTTCTCTCAGGCCGAGTGCATCGGCATATCAGTTACAAGCAGTATTTTACATCGCGATGGACAGAGGTTAACCGGGAGTTTTACAATTTCTATTACACTTTTAACAAATTTAAAATCATTCTTCATGACATATCTTAAGGCAGTAAAATAATTGCTGGAGTTGTAACATGTTTGGGTTTTTTAATAGTGTTTTGGGATGTATATTTCCCTTTGTTCGTTGAAAATATTTACATCTGAAAATATAGTGGAATTCATCTCCAATGTCAAAAACTATCACACGGCTTGCATAAACGTTCATTCAACGGAGTTTAGTTCCATCTTCCGGCTTCTATTGGCAGATGGTGACAAAACGTCCTAAAGAATCGCAATTTAAAGGATAGGGGTGTGGAATGTTTTGATTGGCGATTTTAAAATGGGGAGCATTTACTAGAATTTGAAATATCCGCTTTCCAAGATCCGTGTTTACGGTTAGCTTCCACAATTTACAATAGTTTCAAAACAATTAAGTGATTTCTGTAGGACTTTACGTGACCAAAAGAGCTACATCCTCGGCATACAGAAGTACAACTAAAACCAGAGCAATGTCTACAAAACAATCAAGTGTAGTTGAATCGATCTGCAACCCTGTACAAAATAGCATTCTAAATCATTCAAATACAAGGAAAAAGGAATTGCTTATAAATGTCCAACATTACAATCAAATAACTTTAAACCATTCACAGACACATGTGATTTGTTACAATCATACATTGATCTTATACGTAAGTATTTTCCATTTATCCCCTGGGCTAATAATTTACATCAAAGGCCAATTAACCATATACTATCAAAAGGTTTTTTTTAAATAAAAAAACCCCAGCAGAACACTTTCTTTTTTCGTACTTTGAACAACTCGATTGAGCTATCGAGTGTGAATATGTGATCAATGGTAAAATATGTTTGTCCAAACACTGCTTGTGCTTCTGAAAGGATGTTTTCATTTTCCAAGTAATATTAATTTAGACCCAAGATTACCAGTGAATAATTTACTAAGACAGCTAATCAGACACACAGAGCGATAATTCTCCAATTTGTTTGGATCTCCTTTCCCTTTATAAATTGTCCAATGATACTCGTAATCCACTGGTCAGGGAAAACATCTGTGTTTAGAATTTTTTTTAAAAATTACACAGGCATCATAACCTCAGAGATCTCTTTATTGTTGGGGGGCACGGGGGGCCCAGTCGTCTAAGGCGCCGCGATTCGCTGTGCAGAGTTGCGTCCCTTGGGCACGCCAGAAACCTATAATTGTGGGTTCGAATCCCGGTTCGCCCCGATTATGTTTCTAGGTTTGTCAGCACCATACCCGTGCTCGTGGGTTTCACTGAAGTGGTAAACGTCTGAGACCTGCATCACTTCGGGTTTTCCTCCCACATGAAGCTGACACGCCGTGATATAACTAGAATACTGTTAAAAGCGGCGTTAAACCCAACTCACTCACTCACTCTTTGTTGTTGCCATTTTTAGTTCAATAATGGCGTCTTGAATTTTAAGTGGTGTAAATTGTTTGTCTGAAACATAACATTGGTCAGTGTTAAAATATTCATGATCAGACATACAAATAGCGGGTCAATGTTAAAAACGTGTATGGTGCGTGCAAAGCGCAAAAAGAAGACACAGTCAATCCCATGTCAAGAAAATGACATGTGTTCAAGTATCAGCAGGGTAGGTCCATGTCTCATGTTGCTTCCCACAGACCTAACAGTTTAAAACTCTGATTATAACGCAATCCCTAGTCTGTCTTACAGACCCTGATACAAATATATATCAAATACAGCCCATGCAAGTCTATAATATTTGGCAAGTCTAGATTACTGCAGTATCAGGAAGAGAGTCACTGGGCTCCCTTTTATTATATTTTTATTAAGATAACCGAACAACTTTTTTTTCTGTACGATATGTTCATTTCAGAGACTAGTTGTTAGTCTAAGCAATCCCCTTCTTAGGTAGAAGTGGAAAAACGAAAATAGAAAATATGAGAGAGAAATGTGTCTTACGCCGCTATCGGTAGTATTCAAGATGGGCCACAAGAAATGGGCGTCACAGATTGAAGCTCTTTTGGATTTGAATCCGTCGTTTCGGCCTGACAAGAGAGCACCTCAACCACTTGGTTGACTCACCGAAAATCAACAACAAGGAGGATCCATGTTTTTTTACTTCTTTTTGTCACCTAACAAACCATTGTAGAAATTATTATTAATATACAATACATTAATATAACGCAGATATCCAGGCACTAAGATCTGCTCAAATGCGGTTATATTTGTTCCCCGAACAGTGGATCCGTTTTCATTCCAGTTATCATTCTCAACTCCCTGGGGAGTATACAACCCTAGCTGCCTGGGTGTGCTAGAAGGTTTTTTCATTCACCTCACATATCCCCCAGCTATTCACTTTGATGTCGAAGATGTCCCTGGCAGCGTCTACACCATAGGAATAACAGCAAGGCTGTAAAACTGTTCACAAACAGGGGAAAGTCTAGCAATATGAAGAATGTGTCCTAAGATCGTGATACAGATACAGATATGAACACCCCTCATGGTTATAAACTATAAGTATATGACTCACAGTCGCAATGAGTTTGTGAGAGTGATTGGGTGAGTGAGAGAGTTGGGTTTTATTCTACCTTTAGCAATATTCTAGCAATATCACAGCAGGAGTCACATGAAATGGGCTTCACAAATTGTTCCCATGTGGGGAATCGAACCCGGACCATCGGCGCCACGAGCGAACGCCTTAACCACTGAGCTACCTAACCTGGTGTGGTGAGTGGGATATTGTTATTTTGTTTATTAATCTGTTTCCTTTGAAATAAGTGAGAGGGGAGGAGGGCGGAGGGAGAGGGAAGGGAGCAATTGTTGAGTTATGTAAAGGCTTCCCCGCGTAATATCCGATATATACCACGTAGTCAAGATAAATAATTGAAGTTTGAATTTATGGCATTCCATCTGATAAGTAACGATATGTCAACAAAATATAGATATTTTACATCCTGACCAGATATGTAAAGTATACTCTGCAAATAAAAGAAACGCAAAAGTGACATTAGTTGTATAATTTATATATCATATAAATGATCAACTGATCGTAATCGATTGTTCAAATTTTTCACCCGTCATTCCCATTGACCCAGGTTCCATATAACACAAAAGGAACAGTAGATATTTAAGGTGAATGTCATCTGTGCTCAATATCTTGAATGATCACCAAAACTGACTAGCATCGTCGTCACATGGAAGCAATCAGATCCAGAATTGTGGCCTGGGGACGGTAGACGGTACAGAAATGAGTGTCAACCAAGCGAAGTGCCATATTAAATCGGCCCAGACGGAGTTTTTCAAGGAGAGGTTATCTGAACGACTGCATCGAGTTTATGTGCAGTGTGTTGAGAAGATCAGCAACCCTGCAGAGTCCTTTGATGAGGACGGCTGGCCTGAAATGTGAAACTGAAGGCTTTCTGTTTGCTGCTCAAGATCAGTCACTTCCCACTCGAAACCGTCAATGTGTGATTATGCATCAAAATATAAATATGAAATGTAGATTGTGCAATGAATTTAATGAGACTGTTCAACATATTGTCAGGAGTACCTTAAGCGACATGATCGATAATTGTATTACCGTCGTCGTCATGCTCGTGGTTTTGACACAGAGGTCCATCCATGGTTCGACCCAGAATATGTAGAGGGTGTCATGAAAAATGATGAATACGATTTCTTTTTGGAATAGACCCGTATACAGTCTCAGACCTATCCAGGCCAATAAACCTGATCTTATCCTTTTTGATAAATCCAATGAAATCATTTTCATCATTGAATTTTCTGTCCCTTTTGACACGAATGTGATTGACAAGATTCAGGAAAAAACATGGTAGATATGAGTACCTCGCGTTCGAAATGTCACGCTTGCATCCCAAGTACCAAGTTGTTCTCGGTGCCTTAGGTTTGGTACCTCCCAATCTGTTGACATTTGGAGAGTACCCGGGTTTGCCTCCAGGAATACAGCCCTTCTGACAATCTGGGTAATGCAGAAGGCTGCAGTGTTGGGGAGTCTTCATATTCTTCGAAAAGTTCTGGGTGGGTTCGACAAGGCAGCGATTCCTGGGGAGAAGTCCCATTCGCTGTCTGGGCTGCGTGTAGAGGGGGCAAGGGCCCTGAGCTGATGATGAGCCAAATCAGTCTGACTGTGCCAGGATCACCCAAACCCTCTTTCCTGCATTTTTTATTTTAATCTGTAAATAATAATAATAATAATAATATGATGATGATGATGATGATGATGATGATGATTGACAAGATTGAGGAAAAACATGGCAAATATGCGGACCTCGCTTTCGAAATGTCACGCTTGCATCCCAAGTACCAAGTTGTCCGACTCCCCATTGTTCTCGGTGCCTTAGGTTTGGTACCTCCCAATCTGTTGACTGACATTGGGAGAGTAACCGGGTTTGCTACCAGGAATACAGCCCTTCTGACAATCTGGGTAATGCAGAAGGCTGCAGTGTTGGGGAGTCTTCACATTCTCCGAAAAGTTCTGGGTGGGTTAGACTAGGCAGCGATTCCTGGGGAGAAGTCCCATTCGCTCTCTGGGCTGCGTGTAGAGGGGGAAAGGGCCCTGAGCTGATGATGAGCCAAACCAGCCTGACTGTGCCAGGATCACCCAAACCCTCTTTGCTGCATTTTTTATTTTAATCTGTAAATATTAATAATAGCACGATAGCAATCCATAACATATAAGAAAAAAATATTTAATTGAGTAGACGCAATAGGAATGTGTAGCTTGAAGAGATAAATTTTCAGGACTGCTTTAAAAATCAGTGTTTATAATCTTTTCCATGGCAACAAAACAAACACGATTGCATAAATGATGACTCAATGACCATTCCCAACCTGACTCCACTATTCGCCTCGTGCGCTATCAAGCAGGACAAGACTCTCAGGTGGTGTCACAGATCTTATTCGGGGAGGTATTTTTATTATTCCTATCATTACTGCACATGTAGTTCATATAGTCCTCTATCTAGGCTGAATGGTATAATGTGTTTTTGTGGAGTTTGGGCGGTCCTCCAGGACAGAACAAGATAGGGGAAATTCGAAAATACCAAATGATTACAGCAATACAAAGGGTGTTGACTGATGGTAATGGCTTGATAAGAAACCTGAAGCACTAGGTGTGACATGGCACTCAAAAGTGAGTGAATTGGGTTTAACGCCGCTTTTAAAAGTATTCCAGTTATATCGCGACGTGTCAGCTTAATGTGGGAGGAAAGCCCGAAGTGATGCAGGTCTCAGACGTTTACAACTTCGGTGAAACCCACGAGCACGGGTATGGTGCTGACAAACCTAGAAACATAATCGGGGCGATCCGGGATTCTAACCCACAATCATAGGTTTCTGGCGTGCCCAAGGGACGCAACTCTGCACAGCGAATCGCGGCGCCTTAGACGACTGGGCCCCCCGTGCCCCCCGTCACTCAATATTGTTGATGGTATATCGTAAGGTCGCAAACAACCAAGAATGACGACAGTGGTTTGTCGTAAAAGGATGAACGTTTGAAATGACTTTATCAATTATGGGTCACACACCCATGCTTGGTCAACATTTGCTTCTGACATGCGTGACATGATCCGAATCAATCTCCAAATGATCATTTGAGGGAGTCTGGACTTGTGTTGTTGGCCTATCATTTACATTTTATGTCTGCAGAAACCTATATGAAAGTCTGCAAAATACAGATTAAGACAAATTGAACATATTGGCTACCGATCGGCAAGTTCAACAAGTTTGAAGCATGCCTTCACAATCACATTTTCACATGTGTTTACATGTTTGTTGTTTAACGCTGCACTATATTCAGCTACATCACGGCGGTCAGTAAACAATCTAGTCTGGACCAGACAATCCAGTGATTGACATCATGAACATCGATCCACGCAATTGGGATACGATGGCATGCATCAACCAAGTCAGGGAGCCTGACCACCCTATCCCGTTAGTAGCCTTTTACGGCAAGCATGGGTTGCTGAAGACCTGTTCTAACCGGATCTTCACGGGCTCACAATCAGAGAAGAGAGCTTAAGTGTTACTGTGGATAATGAAACTAAACGATACTGGCTCAGAGTGATTTCACGACCGTTCACTGAAGTGTAAAAATTTAAAATGACCCCTAACCGCCGTTTGGTTGCCGTCTCTGCATGGCAGTGAGTTTTCAACACTGATCTTTCTTCTGAGACGCTTGAGGACCCTTCTGGCTTTCATTCCCACCGATTCCAATCGATTCCACACTGTTCTGGTTGACATCTGTCTTTTGGGTAACCGTTGGCTCTTCACAACAGGAGACGTACATGTCTTCACGCCTTGACGTCATGCGAGGTCTTCCTGACCGTGAGAGATCCTGTACAGTATTGGTTTGCCCGTGGTTCCATACCAGATACCCTAAATGACGTCCGAGCTTTGAAGGTCATGCTTGTCGAATGCATACCAATTATTCGGCATCATCGGCGCCTCTGATAACCTTCTCCATGCCATGTTCAAAGATGTTTCAACACTACGAGACAGTGACGTTAAATACCCGCAATGGCCATGTACAGACGTGGATTTTGGCCAAAAACATGGGTCGTGCTGCAATGTGACGTCACAGTTGCCATTGTACCATCCTGTCATTTCAACGGAGCGCCATTCTTGACATAATAAGCACTAAATTTGGAGTTGTATTGAATGGGGATATTTCAGTATTAATTATTTGCAGGGATGCTTAACTTTTTGCTCTGTGTATATTTGAAAGGGGTTGATTCGTAACATACTTTTGCTTGTAAGGTAGTGAAAGGGAAATGTATGGCAACCAAACTCCACTGTAAAACTTGTCTTATTCTTTCAGTTTCTGCCTTCATGATGTCCGGCACTGGACGTGCCGTGTGTATACTGACCACACTGGCCATCGCATCTCTGCAGGAAAGTATGTAGTTATATTATAACCAAGCGTTTCAGGCCAATGACTTGCGTTACCGTTGGCGCCATAGTTTATTGAACCTGAATAATGCGATATATACTGAATATAAAACGTCTTGGGGATCATGAATATATGGGGGGACACAATTATATGAGAATATCCTAAAAATTATTTATCATCCATGTTTTTGTTCAGTGTACCAATGGCGACGTTCGTGTTCGATAAACCAACCACATGCAAGTCACTTGTGCGATTCCGACTATGTCACAAGCATGTGTTTTAAAATCACTATCAGTTGGTGATGATAACTGGTGTTTGCAAAAAGGTGAGCGTACCCTGTCCTACCGGTGGCACTCGTCACATACACATGCAAAGTCAAGTCAGATATTCACCAATTCATAATGTTGGTCACCGATGGTCAAATTCGGAAATGTCATCAACAAAAACGTTTCTGTCGTATAACTGAGTTCTTGAATGATCTAACCCTTGTGAAATGTAGACACTAAAGGCTGGAACTCCCGGGCTCACTTGCACAAAGCGATCTTAGCGCTAAGATGATTGTTGGTTGGTTGGTTGGTTTGTTGTTTAACGCCGCACTCAGCAATATTCCAGCTATATGACGTCGGTCTGTAAATAATCGAGTCTGTGCCAGACAATCCAGTGATTGATATCATGAGCATGGATCCACGCAATTGGGATCGATGACCGTGCATCAACCAAGTCAGCGAGCCTGACCACCCGATCCCGTTAGTCGCCTTTTACGACAAGCATAGTCGCCTTTTACGGCAAGCATTGGCTGCTGAAGACCTATTCTACCCCGGATCTTCACGGGTCCTAAGATGATTGTAACTCCCATACTTTAACATGGTCTTAGCGCTAAGATCGCTTTGTGCAAGTGGGCCCTGGAATATTGCTCGACATAAAGGGAAAGTTGACGATGGGAAAGTTGAAGCCATCTCTATTATTATAAAGTCTAGTGGAATTTGTTTTCAATTGTCTTTTGTGAATCTTTGATCGAAATATGGCACGGTTGAGACAGTTTCACTGACTATTTGATTTGTTGTTCAGGTGGGTAATTCAGTGGAAGGGAATTGGCCATTTGACCATTAATGAACAATATCAGATCAGCGATAAACCTGAAGTTCCTGTTATATGATCTTATCGATCCGAGCAGACATTTCTATTGAAATGAAGATTCAGATTACCGCGGAGGGAGCACAATATGTTTGGAAGGCAATGCCCCCAATAAGTTACAGCCATACACATGCGTGTATTGAAAGGCCATGCCGCATTCAAGTTGTAAATCTGGCCACTATGAATTGAATGGAACAGGGATGAAATTATTGACCCTTTGAGGAAAGACGTTTGGAAGGATTTTCGGTTTGTGGAATGACTTCCAAACACGAACTATCAATTAAGAGAAGCTGTTGAACTAATATTACTTCACCCAATTATTAATGTGCAATTGTATCAGAGTGAGTGAGTGAGTTGGGTTTAACGCCGCTTTTAACAGACAGGCAGTATTCCAGTTATATCACGGCGTGTCAGCTTAATGTGGGAGGAAAGCCCGAAGTGATGCAGGTCTCAGACGTTTACCACTACGGTGAAACCCACGAGCACGGGTAGGGTGCTGACGAACCTAGAAACATAATTGGGGCGAACCGGGATTCGAACCCACAATCATAGGTTTCTGGCGTGCCCAAGGGACGCAACTCTGCACAGCGAATCGCGGCGCCTTAGACGACTGGGCCACCCGTGCCCACCAATTTTATAAGAGGACGATACTGATATGTTCATATTTAACTACAGGCATGGGGTTCAGCAACAATAGAACCACCAGTTTCTCAAAGGTACACAATCAAGCAGTATCTCCAGTTGACACCAACGTGGGTTATGGAAAAGATGTTGAGGGTGACATGGATTATGCTGGCGGAGGAATAATTACAATGAAGCATGGTAAAGGGGGACTGGCTGGAGTAATGGGCGGAGGAGGTCGTGGAAGACATGGGGGCGATGGAGGAAGAGATGGTGGAGGAAGAGGTGGTGGAGGAAGACATGGGGGCGATGTAGGAAGAGGTGATGGAGGAAGACATGGGGGCGATGGAGGAAGAGGTGGTGGAGGAAGACATGGGGGCGATGTAGGAAGAGGTGATGGAGGAAGACATGGGGGCGATGGAGGAAGAGGTGGTGGAGGAAGACATGGGGGCAATGGAGGAAGAGGAGGTCGACGAAGACGTGGGGGCGATGGAGGAAGAGGTGGTGGAGGCATTGGCCACGGTAAAGGCGGAAGAAGAAGAGGAAGACATGGGGAAGGAGGAGGAAGAGGAAAAAGCGATGGACGAGGCATGGGTTACGGGGACGATAATGAGTATGATATGGAATTTGGCGTTGGAGGAAGAAGCGGGGAAGGCATGGAGTTTGCAGAAATGGATGATGGCGGCAGGGGAATGAGGAACGAGAATGGTAAAGGAAAAGGGGGTATTGGAAGACACGGCAGAGGAAGAAGTAGGAGTGATTATGGGGACGGTTATAAGGACATGGTGTATGGAGGAAGGGGAACACAACGGAGGAGAGGTCGAGGAAGTGGCGGTCAACGTGGAGGTGGCGGAGGAAGGGGCGGTAAACGTGGAGGTGGCGGAGGAAGGGGCGGTCAACGTGGAGGTGGCGGAGGAAGGGGCGGTAAACGTGGAGGTGGCGGAGGAAGGGGCGGTCAACGTGGAGGTGGCGGAGGAAGGGGCGGTCAACGTGGAGGTGGCGGAGGAAGGGGCGGTAAACGTGGGGGTGGCGGAGGAAGGGGTAATAAGCATAGTATAGATTAGGGAGGGGTGGACTGGGATTAAGACATGTGGGGGACGGAGCATTACTGGGATGATTATGGACTGTTCTGATCGATATGGACAAGCATGTTCACTACAGGAAGCGAGGATCTGACCATAACCAGTACACAATCTTGAACAGCTGATATTTTTAACTGGGCCACCTGTATCATCATTTCTATCACCTGTAACACATGCAACACCTGTAACATCAATAAATTCTGCAACACATAAACCTAGACGTTTGTAAATGTTTGACTGTGTTTGATTGTTTCGCCTCTGAATAAAACAGGAGGACTCGTATACTGTTGGCTGCTTCAGTTGGAACCTGCAGTGTTGTAAACTCATTTAAAGGGTACCTGCAGCGTTGTCGAATCCTTTAACTGGTATCTGCAGTCTGCATATCTGGCCATATTGCATTCCTATTCAGCTCGTTGGTATCATCCCCTACCCCTATCAGTTATCTGTGCACAATAACCATTTACAAATGGGACGTGACAAATGGGACGTGTAACAACTGTGAATATAGAGATGTGTGACAAATGGGAAGTGTAACAACTGTGAATATAGAGGTGTGTGACAAATGGGACGTGTAACAACTGGGAATATAGAAATGTGTGACAAATGGGACGTGTATTAACTGGGAATATAGAGATGTGTGACAAATAGGACATGTAACAACTGGGAATATAGAGGTGTGTGACAAATGGGACGTGTAACAACTGGGAATATAGAAATGTGTGACAAATGGGACGTGTAACAACTGGGAATATAGAGGTGTGTGACAAATGGGACATGTAACAACTGGGGATATAGAAATGTGTGACAAATGGGACGTGTAACAACTGGGAATATAGAGATGTGTGACAAAATAGGACGTGTAACAACTGGGAATATAGAGGTGTGTGACAAATGGGACGTGTAACAACTGGGAATATAGAAATGTGTGACCAAATGGGACGTGTAACAACTGGGAATATAGAGGTGTGTGACAAATGGGACGTGTAACTAATGGGAATATAGAGGTGTTTGACAAATGGGACGTGTAACAACTGGGAATATAGAGGTGTGTGACAAATGGGACGTGTAACAACTAGGAATATAGAGGTGTGTGACAAATGGGATGTGTAACTAATGGGAATATAGAGGTGTGTGACAAATGGGACGTGTAACAACTGGGAATATACAGATGTGTGACAAATGGGACGTGTAACTAATGGGAATATAGAGATGTGTGACAAATGGGACGTGTAACAACTGGGAATATAGAGATGTGTGACAAATGGGACGTGCAACAACTGGGAATATAGATATGTGTGACAAATGGGACGTGTAACAACTGGGAATATAGAGATGTGTGACAAATGGGACGTGTAAAAACTGGGAATATAGAGATATGTGACAAATGGGACGTGTAACTACTGGGAATATAGAGATGTGTGACAAATGGGACGTGTAACAACTGGGAATATAGAAGTGTGTGACAAATGGGACGTGTAACAACTGGGAATATAGAAGTGTGTGACAAATGGGACGTGTAACAACTGGGCATATAGAGATGTGTGACAAATGGGACGTGTAACAACTAGGAATATAGAGATGTGTGACAAATGGGACGTGTAACAACTGGGAATATAGAGATGTGTGACAAATGGGACGTGTAACAACTGGGAATATAGAGATGTGTGACAAATGGGACGTGTAAAAACTGGGAATATAGAGATGTGTGACAAATGGGACGTGTAACAACTGGGAATATAGAGATGTGTGACAAATGGGACGTGTAACAACTGGGAATATAGAGGTGTGTGACAAATGGGACATGTAACAACTGGGAATATAGAAGTGTGTGACAAATGGGACGCGTGACAACTGGGAATATAGAGATGTGTGACAAATGGGACGTGTAACAACTAGGAATATAGAGATGTGTGACAAATGGGACGTGTAACGACTGGGAATATAGAGATGTGTGACAAATGGGACGTGTAACAACTGGGAATATAGAGGTGTGTGACAAATGGGATGTGTAACTACTGGGAATATAGAGATGTGTGACAAATGGGACGTGTAACAACAGGGAATATAGAGATGTGTGACAAATGGGACGTGTAACAACTGGGAATATAGAGGTGTTTGACAAATGGGACGTGTAACAACTGGGAATATAGAGGTGTGTGACAAATGGGACGTGTAACAACTGTGAATATAGAGGTGTGTGACAAATGGGACGTGTAACAACTGTGAATATAGAGGTGTGTCCCAAGTGGGACGTGTAACGACTGGGAATATAGAGGTGTGTGACAAATGGGACGTGTAACAACTGTGAATATAGAGGTGTGTGACAAATGGGACGTGTAACAACTGTGAATATAGAGGTGTGTCCCAAGTGGGACGTGTAACGACTGGGGATATAGAAATGTGTGACAAATGGGACGTGTAACAACTGGGAATATAGAGATGTGTGACAAATGGGACGTGTAACAACTGTGAATATAGAGGTGTGTCCCAAGTGGGACGTGTAACGACTGGGGATATAGAAATGTGTGACCAAATGGGACGTGTAACAACTGGGAATATAGAGGTGTGTGACAAATGGGACGTGTAACTAATGGGAATATAGAGGTGTTTGACAAATGGGACGTGTAACAACTAGGAATATAGAGGTGTGTGACAAATGGGATGTGTAACTAATGGGAATATAGAGGTGTGTGACAAATGGGACGTGTAACAACTGGGAATATAGAGATGTGTGACAAATGGGACGTGTAACTAATGGGAATATAGAGATGTGTGACAAATGGGACGTGTAACAAATAGGAATATAGAGGTGTGTGACAAATGGGACGTGTAACAACTGGGAATATAGAGATGTGTGACAAATGGGACGTGTAACAACTGGAAATATAGAGATGTGTGACAAACGGGACGTGTAACAACTGGTAATATGGAGATGTGTGACAAACGGGACGTGTAAGAAATAGGTGATAACCGAATGAGAGCCGAAAGGCTAAATATGAACTTGCAAACTGGGAAAATAATTAGCACGAACCGCTCCGACGTGAAACGTGTTCTATGACCTCCTTCGCAATCGTTCACCTGGTTTTGAAATGTCTGTAGATCCCAGTTGTCATGGAAACAAAATCCTGAATTAATTTTGAATGAAGCATTGACGTTTTACAGTAGTTGACACTGATCTTGGCGAAAGCCGGGGCGCACACGTAGACAAAAACGTCAGACATATTGTACCCCGGAAAAATCCCTTTCAGGACAGGGTAACATACGTGGTAAGTAGCAATGTACCGTTTTAGTTGTACTGTTGTTTTTAACAAATGTAACAGCATAGAAACATTCCTCAGCGTTTATATTTATCGGTGGATTTGCGCAAAATTAAGCGATCAATATAAGACCCGACGACACAGACTCCAGCTAAATGTTCATTTTTATCGAAATTTTCAAATTACATATACAAATACAATGAACCCTGTTAATCCGTAAAACTGATAATCTGCTGATAACGTTTATGTTCAAATACGTGAATATGTGCCTACATTCCGTAATGCGGGAGCTTGTAAATCCGTCGGTTTCACCGCTCACCGGGCCGTCCCGCATCAGACCTCACTCTTCCGATATTTGCCATTTGGAAAATAAGGCACAGAAAATGTTTCTACACATTTTACAGCTAAGTAGAATATATTCAATCACCACCACGGGACCCGGGAAATCCGGGATACATTTGGTCTTCAGCAACCCATGCTTGCTGAAAAAGGCGACTATGCTTGTCGTAAGAGGCGACTGACGGGATCGGGTGGTCAGGCTCGCTGACTTGGTTGATGCATGTCATCCTATCGCAACTGCGTAGAAGATCTGTCTGCTGCCTTCGAGCGACTCTGGTGTAACGCACCTCTTGTAGGTCAGGTGTGAAATGTCGTTTCCGGGCGGACGCTCTTCCATTAGACCTCGGACGCGGTCTTCACGTATTGAACTCCAAACAACAGGCTCTAATGTATTAAAGTCAAATGCAACTGAAGCCATGTGTATTAAAGTGTAAACATTAATAAACAGTCCTCTATACAGTTTGACCAGAAGTTATTAATGTTTCATACCATTTTGGCCATCAATAATTACAAGTCAAAGATGCATGTTCAAGTTATTCTGACTTTGATTCAAGGGAGACCACTCCGCGTATGTGTGATCAGAGTTGTCTCTCTTAATAAACAAGCTAGCAGACGGCAAACAAAACAACTATGGAAATGGCTAACTTCCTTCGTGGAAATGCTAGAAAACAGCTTTTTGCCTGTTGGAAAAGGATATAATTTTTCACAGTCTGTTGTTATTTAAATATCGAGTAACAACCGATCGCCCTACCTGTGGTTTGAAGTATTTCAGTCACCAGAAGTCCTATCGACAAGTTTACAGGAGACAAATTCGAACGAAAACAGGAAGTTCACGTTAATTCAAAGTCCAGTGATGACAGTCTGAAACGGACTATAGAAATATGCACATGTGACTCCGTTATAATGATGATAAGGAAGTCTTCATAAAATATCTAACCCACACACAAAAATCATTTTGAGAATATTCTAGATGTGCATCTTCTAAAATGACAAAATGACGCTGCGTTATTTTGTTAACATTGCTCTCATGATGCATGTTACATTACGCTTGCATGGTACACGATATGGAGTCCGTATTGGGAAATGTATACAAGATGGAGGGTAACCATTTATTCATTTAGATAGAGTGAATTACCGAACTGCCCAGCCTATGGGGTTTTCAATTCATACCATCAAGTCTACGGTATGAAAAGAAAACAAAACAGGTATAGGGGTGGTCTCAAAAACAAAACTGGGAGTAAAAGGATATTAGACAGCCATGATACAGGGTGATTAGGCGTATAGTGTACAAGTTGTATGACCAGATGACCAGAAGGTAACCCTGACTTGTACTAGAATTTGGAGGAATTGAAGATACAATAATTAATGATTCCCGGACTGCACAAACTACTGCTCTCCAAGAGATGGGATTTCGATACACTGCGCGTGGCGATGACCGAGCACTTTTCAGGGGAAAATATTCCATCCTGTCTATGAGGTCACATTATCTCCGAACCATTCATAACTATCACAGTCAAGGTGTCCAGATAGTTTACCTTGTTGAATCATTCCACTGACGACATGAGGTTATTGGCAGGTGGACAAAAAGCACCCATGGTACCATCAGGTAAAGGTAATCGTGCCATTGTTTTGCACGCTGAGGCCGCCTCCGTGGTCTAATGGTAGAGCGTCCGCCCGGAGAGCGGAAGGTCCGGGGTTCGATCCCCAGCCGCGTCATACCAAAAGACGTTAAAGATGGTACTTGTTGTTACCCTGTCTGGCGCTCGGCATCAAGGAGCTCAAACAAGGACTGGTCGGCTGGGAGTCAGTATACTGTGTCTGAGTGGGGTTTTCATGTTAAACTGCGGCATGGTATCTCAGTGTGCTAGCACTATAAATCGGCATCAGTCCGGACTAGTACAAGCAGCCACACACACATATACACGTGCATGCACGTCGCTATATAAGTGCAATAATCTTGGACGCGACGTTAAACCCCATTTCACCTCACCTTTGCACGCTGCAACCCATGATATTGGACTTATTGATAGATGTGTGCTAGTTTTCGAGGCGAAAAAGAAACCTGGTGATTTTCATAAGGAAATTATAGGAGGTGATGTGTTCATAGACTGGTTGGGACTTCAGCTATTGCCCATTTTAAACAACGCCAGTTTTATTGCCATGGATAACGCCAGTTAATATCACTTCCGGGAATCAGATACTGTCGCCTAAACCATGAGTAGTCTGAAGGCGACCATAAAGGAATATATGACATTGTCGACTTCAGACCATATGACACGAAAGTTCAACTCATGGAGAAAATTCGGCTGAATAAGAAACCAGTACAAGACACATGTGCTAGCGGCACAACACGGTTACGTTATCTTACGCACGCTGGTCAGACAGCGTGAGCTCAACCCTGTTGTGCGCACCTTGGCTAAGTCTACGGGTTCGTAGCAAGCACAACACAACATTCAAAAGTACAGATTCATATACGTCATCAGCGGAGATAAATGCTACCTCAAGAAACCATCTGTAGATCTAGAACAACAAATACTTCTTGATTCCAAAACCGCAACCTTCCAATACTCATCCCGTTTCATAGCTCTTAACTGGTCCATCGTGTTTCCAAGCAAATATAATACAGTACATATCCTAAATTGCTACCCTATCAACGCATGTCAATTACGTACAACAACAGCAATATTTTGAGACCACCCCCAACTCGGTGACATTTGCACCTGGGAGAATGCACGGAACGGTGTGAGGTCATCACCGAGGGACAGGTGTCAGGTTATAGGCAATTTCAGACATGAATGACAACACACGAAGTTTATCATCATATTACCTGTAAAAGTACATTTTAAGGGTACCGTATTCGACGTAATAAGCGCCCCGCTCTAACAAGAGCCCACGGCGATATTTGCTAATATGTTGGATCGTGAACAATCCTAATTAGCACCCCTTCCGATTGACCAATGTACACAAAACTTATTTATTCGTGTATTATACGCACTCGTGTGTTATAGATACCCTTAATTATGGGCAATTAAATTCTGGAAAAATATATCTGTCGTATATACACATTTCAGGGTGTCCTCATAGACCACAAAATCTACGTTCACCATTTACCAAAATAATATTCTAATAATAGCCCCCTATTTCTAATTTTGAGAGCGCGCTGGGCGCTTATTACGTCGAATACGGTAATCACAGTGTCAGTTAGGACAGGCTAGATTAGGTCAATTCGCGTTATTTTGATATATGCTCTTTTTATAGTCCTATGACTTATTACATGAAAACAGAAAAGCAGTTTTCTAGGATTTCAAATAGTGCTTTTAGGAAAAGATGTGGTCTGGCAAGATATTGAACAGTTTGCTGTTTAGTAGCTTCGGGTTAGCAGTGTTCGTTGGACAAACTTATCTCTTGGTCCATGACTTAAAAAATCTATCTAAAAATCTAAGTCCCGTGAAGATCCGGGGTAGAACAGGTCTTCAACAACCCATGCTTGCCGTAAAAGGCGACTATGCTGGTCGTAAACGGGATCGGCGGATGCATGTCATCGATCCCAATTGCGTGGATCGATGCTCATGATGTCCATCACTGGATTGTCTGTTTCAGACTCGATTATTTACAGACCGCCGTCATAAAGCTGCAATATTGCTGAGTGCGGCGTAAAACAGTAAACAAACAAACTAAAAGATCTCTAATTTACAATGTTCTCATTCTCAATACTTTCTTGTCAAACTATCAGCGTTAGAAAGTGTCACTAGTCCTGTAATCCTTGCCAAACTGCCTGATAGTAAAGGTATCATAGTGAGTGAGTGAGTTGGGTTTTAAGAAGAATAAACTCACATAGGCCACAAAGGACAGGGTAGATACAATCAACAGTCGCATGCTTTGTCTCACTTCGTAGTAAAAACAAGACGGTCACACAATTGCTAACGTCAGCTGGGGAGGTCAGCTGTTATCTTTAGTTCAGATAGTGCCTATTTTGACATTGCATTTGTAAGGTCATATCAACTCAGAATGTAGTTCAAATACTACGAGTGAGTGAGTGAGTGAGTTGGGTTTAACGCCGCTTTTAACAGTATTCCAGTTATATCGCGGCGTGTCAGCTTAATGTGAGAGGAAAGCCCGAAGTGATGCAGGTCTCAGACGTTTACCACTTCGGTGAAACCCACGAGCACGGGTATGGTGCTGACAAACCTAGAAACATAATCGGGGCGAACCGGGATTTGAACACAATCATAGGTTTCTGGCGTACCCAAGGGACGCAACTCTAGATCTGCAAAGCGAACCGCAGCGCCTAAGACGACTGGGCCACCCGTGCCCCCTAAGGTATCATAAGGACCAGTAGAAATTTGTCATTTTTAAAGGTTTTGCTATATGTGTTCATTTTAAGGACTTGTGGACTAAAAATGTTTGTTTCTACAGCTGACAGTATAACGCTAGGGTCACTGTAATGACATTAATTTAGTATTCAATCCAAATTATTTTGTATGTCTTCCAGACGACATGCACGGACAACTGATATGTTCCGCCATCTTGATGTTCCTGGTGATCAGAACAGAACCAAAGCCTCTTGATCAAGGTAAACACAGTGTTGTGGTTCTTGTCATTATGTTCTGATACTTAAAGAAAAACCCCAAGTGGCAAACCTACATATAAATCAACATGAGATATAGCACTAGCGTAACTCTTCAACTCCATTCGGATGTTTCCAGAAATGCAAATATTTTCAGAAGGTGGAATTAATAAATCATGGTGGCGGTTTAATTCATTCAGAAAGATATCTTTGTGTGCTGTTAGCCTTTAGTAATGAAGAATACAGAACATTTTGATAACGCGGAAAGCGTTAAAGTTGGCATGCAGCACGTGCTTCTTACTGGATGAGAGTAAAATGCGCATGCTCTAGACACAGTGTATTTCAGTTGGCCTCTGGCGTTCATATGTGCAAGTAGTAAATGGATATCTCTCTCTAAGTTACAAAATAGTGAATTAAAATAGTGCAGAAATAGAACAGAATAGAATAGAAATAGTTGAGAGAGTTACCCATTTGCATTGTTAACATACGCTAATCAAACGGTAACTTCATTTTAAGTTTCAAATCCATTTCATTTTATCTTATTACATTTTCATTGTTCATTACATTACAAGGGGATTTCACGTTTTGTTGATTATAAGGGGATTTCACGTTTTGTTGATTACAAGGGGATTTCACGTTTAGTTGATTACAAAGGGATTTTACGTTTTGTTGATTACAAGGGGATTTCACGTTTTGTTGATTACAAGGGGATTTAACGTTTTGTTGATTACAAGGGGATTTCACGTCTTGTTGATTACAAGGGGATTTCACGTTTAGTTGATTACAAGGGGATTTCACGTTCTGTTGATTACAAGGGGATTTCACGTTTTGTTGATTACAAGGGGATTTCACGTTTTGTTGATTACAAGGGGATTTCACGTTTAGTTGATTACAAGGGGATTTCACGTTTTGTTGATTACAAGGGGATTTCACGTTTTGTTGATTACAAGGGGATTTCACGTTTAGTTGATTACAAGGGGATTTCACGTTTAGTTGATTACAAGGGGATTTCACGTCTTGTTTATCACAAGGGGATTTCACGTTTTGTTGATTACAAGGGGATTTCACGTTTTCTTGATTACAAGGGGATTTCACGTTTAGTTGATTGCAAGGTAAGCTCATGTTGAGGTTAATCTGAAAAACTGAAAAGAAAATATCTGAAAATATATAATCGATGTTTTACTCGAGTGAAATAAATAATCATTTATGCTGAAATTGTTATCATTCAATATCATCATGGTGGGTGCCACGGAGCTGTGATTATTTATTGATTATCATAAGAGATGTATTAAATATTGGTTGAAATTGTTATCTTTACCCAGTTATAGATACCCTAAGCAATGTTATTTAATGCTGAAATCGCAATACATGGGTAACGTGTGTCAAAAGATTATTATTCAGTTATGGATTTGGCCACGTGTGGATTTCGCAGGAAGTTGGTAATGAGACCCTCTTTATTAATGCATTTATTCAAAGGTTAAAAGACTGTAACCAACATGACTGGTATTGTAAAGTTCGTGAAATACGTAAATTATCAATGTATAAGGAATATAAGTCATTGCTAACAGTTGAAAAGTATCTCTGTGAAATCACAAGCCGTCATTATAGACGTATGTTTTGTTTGTTAAGAGTTGGCGAGTTGCCATTGATGGTAAATTTAGGTAGAAGATGCGGTATAGAGTACTGTAATAGGCAGTGCAGATTTTGTAATTTACAGGAAATTGAAGATGAGTTTCATTTTATGCTTGTCTGCCCATGCTACAGATATTTAAGAAATAAGTATTTACCTATTTATTACTCTTCCAATCCTACTTTATTTAAATATATTACACTATTATCTTGTAACCGCACTAGTATTGTAACTAATTGTGTTAAGTATATACTGGAAGCACTTGCAATCCGAAATACTGTCACTTAATACCCTCTGTCATTTGCGTCTTCTGTATTTTTCAATGAGTCTTTGTACTTACTTACTAACTTACTTTGGAGATTTAACGTGCGCTTTCCGACTGATGCGTATTTCGCACACGGGCCCGGTCAGGCCATTTAATGTGTTTCCGAAAGGGGCGAAAGTGGTCTGTGCAACCCAAGAGGGGGGTTTTAGGGGTTGCTTATATAGAATTTGGGGAATTTTGAGATTTGGAATAGATGCCGATGGGGTTGGGGAGGAGAACTAAGGGAGCTGGGTATGGTGGATGTTTGTTTGTTTATGTGATTTTGATTTGGTAGGTTATTGTGTTTTTAGATGCGTTTTATTAGTTCCGTTTTTATTAAGAATACGCCTAAGGCCTTGAAGTTTTCTAGTTTATTTTGTGGGTTTAGTATTGCTTCTAGAGTTAGAGCCTTGTTTAGATTGAGGGTGGTTTAAAATGCGGTTCGATGTGTTAGGTAGTGTGTGCAGTACGTGGGCCTATGGCCTTTATACTGAAATAAAGAATTGAATCACGGAGCTGTGTTCCAGTGATCAGGGGTGTCATTAAACAAGAATACACTAATAATGTAAAAGTGGAAATGTGTTCACAGGTTTATTTATAACAGCTAATTATACTAATAGATGACAATGAAAGGATCAAAGGGTGTGCGCTGACAAAGATACCTGATTAATTAATCAACGCCAAATACACAAGCGGCTGAGCTAAGCAACTTTATTTAGATTGAGAGCAGCTTGAAACAACACTTTGACAAGATACCAACCGGTGTCCTACCATTAGTGAGATAGCCAGTTGTTAGACAGATGCGTAGACAAGCAATTTAGTTGGCTGCGACCTATTAACACCTGAGTCAATTAACTCAACACTCTAATGAGTGAATAACCCCGGCTTGGTTGAATAACGGGAAATAAACACAGATGGTCTATCCCGAAAAAAAGACACCTGGCGTCTATAACATCGAACGTCTGACTATCAAACTCTTCTAATCGACTAAAGATTCTGTCACTTTGACTGAGGAAGGAAATACTAAAATTAACCAAAAGCTAGACAATCACAGGAAGGCTGGTTGTCCACGGATTACTAGAAAAACTGAGCATCACGTATCCTCGTAACTAAGTAGCAAGACACTCACGGGAAGGTTGGTTGTCCACGGATTACTAGAAAAACCGAGCATCACAAACCCTAGTAACTAAGTAGGTGGACAATCACGGGAAGGTTGGTTGTCCACGGATTACTAGAAAAACTGAGCATCATAAACCCTAGTAACTAAGTAGGTGGACAATCACGGGAAGGTTGGTTGTCCACGGATTACTAGAAAAACTAAGCATCATAAACCCTAGTAACTAAGTAGCTAGACAATCACGGGAAGGCTGGTTGTCCACGGATTACTAGAAAAACTGAGCATCATAAACCCTAGTAACTAAGTAGCTAGACAATCACGGGAAGGCTGGTTGTCCACGGATTACTAGAAAAACTGAGCATCACAAACCCTAGTAACTAAGTAGCTAGACAATCACGGGAAGGCTGGTTGTCCACGGATTACTAGAAAAACTGAGCATCATAAACCCTAGTAACTCAGCAGCTAGACAATCACGGGAAGGTTGGTTGTTCACAGATTACTAGAAAAACTGAGCATCATAAACCCTAGTAACTCAGTAGCTAGACAATCACGGGAAGGCTGGTTGTCCACGGATTACTAGAAAAACTGAGCATCATAAACCCTAGTAACTCAGTAGCTAGACAATCACGGGAAGGTTGGTTGTTCACAGATTACTAGAAAAACTGAGCATCATAAACCTTAGTAACTAAGTAGCTAGACAATCACGGGAAGGCTGGTTGTCCACGGATTACTAGAAAAACTGAGCATCATAAACCTTAGTAACTCAGTAGCTAGACAATCACGGGAAGGCTGGTTGTCCACGGATTACTAGAAAAACTGAGCATCATAAACCCTAGTAACTCAGTAGCTAGACAATCACGGGAAGGCTGGTTGTCCACGGATTACTAGAAAAACCTAGCATCATAAACCCTAGTAACTAAGTACCTAGACAATCACGGGAAGGTTGGTTGTCCACGGATTACTAGAAAAACTGAGCATCATAAACCCTAGTAACTCAGTAGCTAGACAATCACGGGAAGGTTGGTTGTTCACAGATTACTAGAAAAATTGAGCATCATAAACCCTAGTAACTAAGTAGCTAGACAATCACGGGAAGGTTGGTTGTCCACGGATTACTAGAAAAACTGAGCATCATAAACCCTAGTAACTAAGTAGCTAGACAATCACGGGAAGGCTGGTTGTCCACGGATTACTAGAAAAACTAAGCATCATAAACCCTAGTAACTCAGTAGCTAGACAATCACGGGAAGGCTGGTTGTCCACGGATTACTAGAAAAACTGAGCATCATAAACCCTAGTAACTCAGTAGCTAGACAATCACGGGAAGGTTGGTTGTCCACGGATTACTAGAAAAACCTAGCATCACAAACCCTAGTAACTAAGTAGCTAGACAATCACGGGAAGGTTGGTTGTCCACGGATTACTAGAAAAACCTAGCATCACAAACCCTAGTAACTAAGTAGCTAGACAATCACGGGAAGGTTGGTTGTCCACGAATTACTAGAAAAAATGAGCATCACAAACCCAGGCTACAAAGTTTAGCTCAATACAACCAGAGTAAGTCTTTACTAAATCGAAAATGTCCCGAAACCAATAACTAACGAAACCTAAGTTTTGAAAGTGACCACCCCGTAGCAAACCGACCCTCAGACACAGCCTGACGAGTCCTGGGGGTTAAGACACAAGATCTGACAGAAATATATATATATATATATATATATATATATATATATATATATATATATATATATATATACTTCCCGTGGACCTGAGAGGGTGAGTGAGTATTGGTTTACGCCGCTTTTAGCAAATTCCAGGAATAATACGGCGGGTAACACCAGAAATGGGCTTCACATATTGCTCCCATATCGGGAATCGAACCCGGGTCTTCGGCGTGACGAGCAAACGCTTCGACCACTGGGCTACCCGACCGCCCCAATCTCTCCTTGACAGGCAGGGAATAACGAACACGCTTATAACGAACTTACGGATATAACGAACTTACTTTTTGGTCCCGACTAGTTGCTGTAGTTATGCTGTATATATGCTTATAACGAACTACGGTTATAACGAACTAAAATTAGTAGTCCCTTTGAGTTCGTTATAACCGTACTTTACTGTACTATGGTCATACTCAAGATGTAAGACCGTCGGAAATGAAGCTGGGGAGCGGAGAGGTCACCAGGTCGTGACACGAGAAAAATAACGACCCCGTGACCGTGACCAAGATTAGTAATAAACTTCGTAATATTTAAATAGATTTGGCATTTCTTGTCAAATAATATGCCCATTTATCTCGCAAAGAATTTGAATGTTTCACTTGGGTCATTTTAATCAGTCATCTAAACAATCTTTTCTCATTTTTTGTCAAAAGACTTTTATTTAAAGAATGTAAAAGGTCGACTATGCTTGTCGAAAGAGGCGACTAACGGGATCTGGTGGTCAGGCTCGCTGACTTGGTTGATGCATGTCATCGATCCCATTTGCGTGGATCGATGCTCATGATGTCAGTCACTGGATTGTCTGGTCCAGACTCGATTATTTACAGATCGCAGTCATTGAGCTGGAATATTGCCGAGTGCGACAACAAATCAAAAGTATACAGCTTTCCATAGACTTGTGGGTGTTATGGAGCGTTTGATGCCCAGAAATTAGATTTTGAATGACGGCGTTTGCCAGAGGTTTAAATGTTGCAAATTTCAGTTTTAATGCGAGCGTGTTCGAGTAACCAATGTTTTACTGCATTCGAATTCCCTATGTCTGTTGTAGAAAAGTGTCAGTATGAAGAGACAGGACGGAGGGATGCTTGTAACGGGACTACGGGGACACAGACCGTATATCTGACTCTGTCCGTTGGAGGCGAGGAGTGCCCACCAAACACCGCCAGACAGGAACGCTGTGCCCCTCCCACCCCACCACCACACCCTGATGAGATGCAGATCAAGCACCCCATGAAGCACGTCAGAAAACGTCCAGGGCGGAACAGGCAAAGGCATGTGAGAAAGCAGCCCTACCCACATGATGTTCTGGACGCTGAGGACAGGATTGGTGCAGGGTGGAGAAAGGGTGGACACAGAGAGGATGAAAGTGATGCAGACCGCCGTCATTCACAAAGACAAGGGGCGATGGCACACGGAGAGAAGACATATGTCAGAAGGAGAAGAAGAAGTACTGATTCTGACGGTGATGAGGAGGCAGGCGATGATGACGGTGGTGAAGGAGGCGATGACTATGGTGATGACTACGGAGGCCATGATTACGGTGATGAGGAAGGAGGCGACGATTATAGTGATGGGGAAGGAGGCGACGATTATGGTGATGAGGAAGGGGGCGATGATTATGGTGATGAGGAAAGAGGCGACGATTATGGTGATGAGTATGGAGGCGATGATTACGGTGATGAGGAAGGGGGCGATGATTATGGTGATGAGGATGGAGGAGATGATTACGGCGATGAGGAAGGAGGCGGTGATTATCGTGAAAAGGAAGGAGGCGACGATTATCGTGATGAGGAAGGGGGCGATGATTATGGTGATGAGGATGGAGGCGATGATTACGGTGGTGAGGAAGCAGGCGATGATTATGGTGGTGAGGAAGGAGGCGATGATTACGGTGATGCGGAAGGAGGCGATGATTACGGTGATGAGGAAGCAGGCGATGATTACGGTGATGAGGAAGCAGGCGGTGATTATGACGGTGAGTTAGGAGGCGATGATTACGGTGATGAATACGCAGGCGATGACTACGGTGATGAGGAAGCAGGCGATGATTATGGTGGTGAGGAAGGAGGCGATGATTACGGTGATGAGGACGCAGGCGATGATTACGGTGATGAGGAAGCAGGCGATGATTATGGTGGTGAGGAAGGAGGCGGTGATTATGACGGTGAGTTAGGAGGCGATGATTACGGTGATGAGGACGCAGGCGATGACTACGGTGATGAGGACGGAGGCGATGGTTATGGTGATGAGGAAGGAGACGATGTCAACAAGAATGATACTGCTGGGGATGGAGCTGATGATGTTTATACTGGTTAGGTAAATGTTACAAGGCCGAAAAAATGGTAATGAGATTGTTTTGGGGTATAAGAGCGAAGAGCTTCAGAGGTAAATAATTATTATAGTAGAAACAAGGGCGACAAAAACGAGATACAAACTGAGAGACTCAGTTTAAATAATTGAACAATTGCTGATTCTAAAACAAACAAATTCTTCTTTTTTTCTTGCATATTAATATTGACGTTATTTTGCCTATTGTGATACACAATTTGACCATAATAAATATTGCCCAGTGTGATTTTCTTGTTCGGGAATGATTGACGATGTAATAGGGATTTACAATTTAATTGAAACTAATAAGTTCAGAAACATATTAACGATATCCTTGGTATTGAATGAGTGAGTGAGGTTAACGCAGCATTGGCCAGTTTTCCAGTTATATCACGGCGAGTCTGCTTTATTTGGGAGGAAAACCCGAAGTGATGCATGTCTCACACGTTTATCACTTTGGTAAAACCCACGAGCAGTATGGTGCTGACAAACCTAGAAATAGAACTGCCAGTATACCCATGAAGCAACCCATGCTTGCCGTAAAAGGCGACTTTGCTTGTCGCGATCGTAAAGGGCCACTAAAGGTATTGGGTGGTCAGGCTCCCTGACTTGGTTGATGCATGTCATCGTATCCTATTGATATTGATGGTCATGATCTCAATCACTGGATTGTCTGGTCTAGATTCGATTATTTACAGATCTACGTCTTATAGCTGTAATATTGCTGAGTGCGGCGTTAAAACAACACTGCCACTGCTGCTGCTACTACTACTACTGCTACTACTACTACCACAACATCATCATGTACTTAAAAATAAGATGTTACAAAATCCTCCCACCAGTCATGAATTAAAAATATGTTCACTGGTTACAATCGAAACTGAGTGAGTGAGTGAGTTTGGTTTTACGCTGCTTTTAGCAAATTTTCCAGCAATATCACGGCGGGGGACACCAGAAGTGGGTTTCACACATTGTACCCATGTCGGAATCGAACCCGGGTCTTCGGCGTGACGAGCGAACGCTTTAACCAATAGACTACCCGACCGCCCCGCGTAGGGTTGGATGAGTAGACTAGATAACACAATGATATAGTCTTCTAGGTCACTCTACTTGGACTCTAAATGGATTACACGTAATATATGTATATGCATCATCTATAGGTATAGTATTTTCTAGTATTTGTTTTGTTAGTATTCCATATATTCTAGTGTGTATCTAGAATTGATATAATATCATAATACGATGCCAGTCTAAATACAATATATAACAATGTTTAAAATATTTGATAATCGCAAATTATTTTATAGATAACCAAAGCAGTAAATAAATTAACTTACCCGAGGTAACACGGTACCGGGAAGGTGACCTCAGTGGGAGAAATATTCCGACCAACCAGCAGAAGTTGTGGCTAGAATATTCACAAAAAAATGAATAAATACTGCCGAAAACAGAAAATTACGAACTGATCCGAGACAATAATTACTGGATCGGTTGGGCAAACACATTTGGGTTGTCACCAGGTAGAGAGATGTACGCATGTTATGCACGTGCAGGTCATGACGATGAAATTGACAACGCTGTGAATACACGTGTTGCTCAAAGGACAATTCAGAGGTCGGTGTGACAAGTCGATTCCAGAATTATCTAAAAGTCGTGAATTACAAACAAATAAACATGTAAAAGCTGGGTAAGCATGGCCAAATTATACATTCTCAGGCTCGATAATTGGCCTGTGATGTCACATATTACATTGAGAAAGAATACAGTATTGCGTTTACAGTTTGCTTAAACTCCCAAAACAATCGACCGCCTCCATGGTCTAGTGGTAGAGCGTCCGCCCGGAGAGCGGAAGGCCCGGGGTTCGTTCCCGGCCGCGTCATACCAAAAGACGTTAAAAGATGGTACTTGTTGTTACCCTGTCTGTTACTCTGTCAGTCCGGACAAGTGTTAGCAGCAGACACGTCGCTTTATAGGTGCAAAAATCAAGGTACCCATTTCATCTCACCCATAAATAATCACATGGTATAACTTAAGGAGTATGTCATTGAGTATTTTTGATAAATGACATGAAACTATTAATTATTGCTCTCCGGGGTGAAACAAAGTTTTTACAGCAAATGAATTCCCTTCACTGTCACGACACTGCTCAATTGGTATCTGTGCAGGGGGCACGGGTGCCCCAGTCGTCTTAGGCGCCGCGATTCGCTGTGCAGAGTTGCGTCCCTTGGGCACGTCAGAAACCTATGATTGTGGGTTCGAATCCCGGTTCGCCCCGTTTATGTTTCTAGGTTTGTCAGCACCATACCCGTGCTCGTGGGTTTCACCGAAGTGGTTAACGTCTGAGGCCTGGGTCACTTCGGGCTTTCCTCCCACATTAAGCAGACACACCGTGATATAACTTGAATACTGTTAAAAGCGGCGTTAAAACCCAACTCACTCACTCACTCACTCACTCACACAGTCATCGGGGACCTCACATCATCACGTACTATTCTGTGCAGTAGAACCCGTTGTTGACACGCACATATCCATCGTACTACCTGTCGCTGACTGCCTCCGTGGTCTAGTGGTAGAGCGTCCTCCCGGAGGTCCGGGGTTCGATCCCCGGCCGCGTCATACCAAAAGACGTTAAAAGATGGTATTTGTTGTTACCCTGTCTGGGGCTCGGCATTAAGGAGCTAAAACAAGAACTGGTCGGCACGGTGTCGTTATACTTAGTCTGAGTGGGGTCTTCTTGTTAAACTGCGGCATGATATCTCAGTGAACTAGCACTATAAAATCGGCATTAGTCTGGACTAGTACAAGCATTATTATATATTTACATTTAGATTATTAATTCAATTCAGCTTAATTGAATACGATGTTTTCAATCCAAAATCTGTTTACAAACAATCTGCAACATTCTCCCCTGCCGAGCACAATGGCGTCAGGACATATATAAGACAGCAACTCATGATACAGAAGGAGCCTCTTCAGCTGGACAAATGATGCTCTTGCTTTTCAATCTGTCAATTCATGCAGGACTCTTCACTTCCCATCCAGGCTGGCGGCTGACGCTGTCTTGGTAGAGTTGATAGATCTTCCCTAGATGGTAGAGTTAGCAGAACTTAGTGGTAGGTTTGTCTCTTTGTTTGTTGTTTAACGCCGCGCTCAGCAATATTCCAGCTATATGACTGCGGTCTGTAAATAATCGAGTCTGGACCAGACAATCCAGTGATTCACAACATGAGCATCGATCTACACAAATGGGATACGATGACATTCATCAACCAAGTCAGCGAGCCTGACCACCCGATCCCGTTAGTCGCCTCTTAAGACAAGCATAGTCGCCTTTTACAGCAAGCATGGGTGGCTGAAGAACTATTCTAACCCGGATCTTCACGGGTGGTAGAGTTGGTAGAACTCTCCTAAGTGGTAGAGTTGGGAGAACTCCCAGGGGATAGAGTTGGTAGAGCTCTCCTTGGGGGTAGAGTTCGTGGAACTGTCCCAGGGGGAGAGTTGGTGGAACTATCCGAGGGGGGAGAGTTGGTGGAACTATCCGAGGGGGTAGAGATGGTAGAACTATCCGAGGGGATAGAGTTAGTAGAGCTCTCCTTGGGGGTAGAGTTGGTAGAACTATCCGAGGGGGGAGAGTTGGTGGAACTATCCGAGGGGGTAGAGATGGTAGAACTATCCGAGGGGATAGAGTTGGTAGAGCTCTCCTTGGGGGTAGAGTTGGTAGAACTATCCGAGGGGGGAGAGTTGGTGGAACTATCCGAGGGGGTAGAGTTGGTAGAACTATCCGAGGGGGGAGAGTTGGTAGAACTATCCGAGGGGGGAGAGTTGGTGGAACTATCCGAGGGGGGAGAGTTGGTAGAACTATCCGAGGGGGAGAATTGGTAGAACTATCCGAGGGGGGAGAGTTGGTGGAACTATCCGAGGGGGTAGAGTTGGTTGAACTATCCGAGGGGGGAGAGTTGGTAGAACTATCCGAGGGGGGAGAGTTGGTGGAACTATCCGAGGGGGGGGGGGGGGGGAGTTGGTGGAACTATCCGAGGGGATAGAGTTGGTAGAACTATCCGAGGGGGGAGAGTTGGTGGAACTATCCGAGGGGGTAGAGTTGGAAGAACTCTCCTTGGGGTTGACTTCTCCTGACAGCCTTCTAGGTTCTGGATCTGGCTCGTGTTCAGAACATGCCTCACGTTGTTCCTCAGCTATTGGTCGAGAACTGTCAGCACTGACGCTATCTTATGATTATTAGCACTTTCAGCGTGATATAACACAATCACAAATGTATTTGTAAAACATTTATCTCTTGAAAATAACATAGAAAATATGCATACATTTTTTTCCTGTCATGTTGCTCCTTTCTTCTGTACAGTATAAAGAGTGAGTGAGTGAGTGAGTTGGGTTTAACGCCGCTTGTAACTGTATTCCAGTTATATCACGTCGTGTCAGTTTAATGTTTGTTTGTTGTTTAACTCCGTACTCAGCAATATTACAGCTATATGACGGCGGTCTGTAAATAATCGAGTCTGGACCAGACAATCCAGTGATTGACATCATGAGAATCGATCCACGCAATTGAGGTCGATGACATGCATGAACCAAGTCAGCGAGCCTGACCACCCGACCCCGTCAGTCGCCTCTTACGACAAGCATGGGTTGCTGAAGACCTATTCTGACCCGGATCTTCACGGGTGGGAACTCTTCATGACAAGAGTGCAATCCCTGACGAGTATAGTGACCGCAACATCATCCAAGCCCTGGTTGTCCACCCCGACAGACACCCTTCAGGGTATCTTCCTCCCCGAGCAGCGGGACTCAGCATCACGGGTTGCGAGGATATGTACATAAAACGATTTTCCTACGAAAAAGATACCATTGGACGTAAAAGGTAAAATAGCTACGAACATGAATGAATCACTGAAAATCAGTGATGACACCAGGTGTTCGCGAAAGGGTAAGCATGTCATTGAATACAAAGCACCATTGAAATAAAACGATATACTTCTTAGATCTCAGATATTAAATTTCATTGACAATTTTAATATAGTATTTTGTTTTTACCGTTTGTACAGATCAATTACTTCACCGTTTAAATGACGCCACGTCTTGCAATGCGATCGAAAACGAATTGATTGAAAACATGGTACATGAATTTGAACTTGTCTATACCACAAGAATCAGTCATAAAATGTGAGTAAATAGAAACAAACTGTTATATGTCGCATACACAAAGGCGTGGGTGATGATTGAGACTGAGTACGGAATGCATTATCAATATTTTTTTTATCTAGTTTAAATTTTTTACTTTTTCCAAAGCACTATTACTATATGTCTATAAACAGATATGAAAGAGCAGGGATTTCTGGGACAAGCAAGAACAGCAGTGGTAATATCCATGAGAGTACAAAACGCAGACCCAATGATGTGTTCACGAATAAAGACCACTATTTTAGGACCTGTGGTTCCAGAGATCAGAAACAAGACCGAGAAACCAAACACAGTAAAACCCAAACCCAGACATTGAAATGAACTGTTGAAGCCTGGCTCGTCACACGCTCACAGTTGCCCTTGTAAGGACCAATACATGCAGAGTAGCTCATCACGTGCGCTATATAGTGTTGCTCGTGCACACCGTGAAACAGATGCGCCATTGGTCCGCGCGCATATATAGCCACATCCTCTCCACTGTGAGTCTCATACGGCATCTTGACTGCCGCCTCTTGACTGAAATCAGCAGCAGCTGAAATTAAATCGGCAAACATATTTTAACGTTCTATTCAGTTTTTAGATGTCGATGTTTTTCTTTCCAAACACACGTGGTGATTTTTTCAGAAACAATCCATTTGTCCACAGAACATCGGTACAATCGAGCATGCTCTTTCAACCAAGATTTCAAAGAGCGCCATACGACTCTGGTTTAAAAGTTGTTTGATAACGGTAACAACATTCAAGGCCTCAGTAAAAAAATCAAAAAGTTTTATGGTGGACATGTGGAGCATACGAGTATTTCCAAATTTGAGGCATCAGTGACAAAAATAACATGCGGTGCAGTTCCCTAGTCTGACTTGTTTCATATGTTTCGCGCTTTTAGATGAACAGTTGACTTGCCTTTGCGTGTGTTTGTCACGGGTGCCAAGGGTAGGGTAGGATATGCTCACCTTTTAACATGTATATCATCACTATTTGATTGTGATTCACAAGAACATTCCTTCACGACTGTGTCGCTTTTATTTTCCTTTACTTCGAAATCCTTGATCTCAAATACTCACTGGTGTCGACATCTCTCAGATTGACTCGGTTTTGACCCAGGGGACCATTTCCGTACACGAGGGTAGTCCTTGGCATCCCGTCATCAGGGCCATTGGGATAGGAGGGGTCGACCACGCCTTCAAGAGTAACACAGAGACACATACGGTGAAGCCAACACGTCACGTCTACTTGACGTGTACTGTTGATAAGGCCATATTTGTTTACTTGCATGCTGTGGGGATTTTTAACAGGAAAATACCTGTCGGTAGGTGGAAAAAAACATTAAATTGTTTGTTATTTTTCTCCTCCACTACAGGTCGGCTGGTATAAGAAAACAAAAGTGGTTTAATGTGGGAGGATTGCCTGCAACACAGCTGTTGCTTTAAGCAATGCAAACCTGACGAATCAAGCGGGATTACTGTTATGTATCTGTGTATCCTATCAATTACAGGAACAACAGCAAACTTTATTTTGATTCCCATGTTAAATATATGTCAACTTCAGTGGGTTTTTGTTTAGAAAATATCTTAGGTGCGGTATGCTATGAGCCTATCGGCGGGATAAAAAAGAAGCAAATTCTGAATTTTTTCCCCCATATCAACAAAATTTCCAGTCGGCGGATCCGAAAAGCAAGTTAAAATAGTGTGGCCTAGCGTGTCATTATATGGAGAGGTAACTCCTCCGTTTCAATTTTTCTTTAATGCAACACCTTTGTTAATCCGGACTGATTATTTAATCACTCAACCCGGGTACTTGATAGCCCATCCCAGCAATATGATAATTCGGAACATATTTGAATCTTTGCATGTAAAAGGAAATGCAGGTAAATAGGGTGCAGAGTTCTGTCCCTTGGGCGTATCACCATCCGACTTAACATAAAGTCCGTGTTGGTGGTTTAACCATGGTGAGCGTCTTGACCCTGCATCACTTAGTGTGGCAAAGGGGCGGTCGGGTAGCCTAGTGGTTAAAGCGTTAGCTCGTCACACCGAAGACCCGGGTTCGATTCCCGACATGGGTACAATGTGTGAAGCCCATTTCTTGTGTCCCCCGCCGTGATATTGCTGGAATATTGCTAAAAGCGGCGTAAAACCATACTCACTCACTCACTTAGTGTGTCACTTCCACATTCAGCTGAAGCACCGTGACAAGGCTGAAAGTTGTTCAAAGCGGCGTAAAACCAACCTCACTCACCCAATATGTTGTTGCCCCTCTTTGGGTAGCCGCCGATGTTGAAGACGTGCGAGTGGTCAGCAGTGACTATCGTCAACGTGTCCGAAATGTCCACCAAGCGGTTAGCCTCTGCGACGGCCTTATCAAACGCCACCACATCATGGAGAGACTTTTTGGCGGAGTTTCTGTGGTGACCATGGTCAATACGACCACCTGGGGGAAGGTCGAATTAATTTCAATTTTCAAAACTGTAGGGCTCTGATCACAACAGGCAAGATCGATACTCGCGCCAACTATGAATATATCAACTAGAAAAGGTGAAAATTGATATTTGACAAAAGAAACAAATGTTTTATTCATGGAATCCTTTCTCAGTAATGGTGCTCCGGCACGTAACTTATTGTATTTTTTTCAATCTAGCAATTGATCACTGAGGGGCAAGAAGTGTATACCGAGTTCTTTTTTTTATGTAATTGAAATTTGACAGAACTGTTGTTAAATTTGATTATGTCTATTTAACCATCAGTCATTCCACTCTTGCAATTTCCCACTTATTGTACCTCGTAAGTTATTCTCCGGGAATTTCCAAGTTACTGTACCTCGTAAGTTATTCTCCGGGAATTTCCAAGTTTCTGCAGCTCGTAAACTATTTTCTAGGAATTTCCCAGTTACTGTAGCTCGTAAACTATTCTCTCGGAATTTCCCAGTTTCTGTAGCTCGTAAACTATTTTCTAGGAATTTCCCAGTTACTGTAGCTCGTAAACTATTTTCTAGGAATTTCCCAGTTTCTGTAGCTCGTAAACTATTTTCTAGGAATTTCCCAGTTTCTGTAGCTCGTAAACTATTTTCTAGGAATTTCCCAGTTACTGTAGCTCGTAAACTATTCTCTCGGAATTTCCCAGTTTCTGCAGCTCGTAAACTATTTTCTAGGAATTTCCCAGTTACTGTAGCTCGTAAACTATTTTCTAGGAATTTCCCAGTTACTGTACCTCGTAAGTTATTCTCCGGGAATTTCCAAGTTTCTGCAGCTCGTAAACTATTTTCTAGGAATTTCCCAGTTACTGTAGCTCGTAAACTATTTTCTAGGAATTTCCCAGTTATCTTAGCTCGTAAACTATTTTCTAGGAATATTCCAGTTTCTGTAGCTCGTAAACTATTTTCTAGGAATTTCCCAGTTATCTTAGCTCGTAAACTATTTTCTAGGAATATTCCAGTTATTGTAGCTCGTTAACTATTCTCAAGGAATTTCCCAATTTCTTTACCTCGTAAACTATTCTCTATGAATTTTCTAGTTTCTTTCGCTTGTAAACTATTTTCTCGGAATTTCCCAGTTTCTGTAGCTTGTTAACCATTTTCTAGGAATTTCCCAGTTTCTTAAGCTCGTAAACTATTCTGTCGGAATTTTCCCAGTTTCTGAGCTCGTAAACTATTTTCAAGGAACTTCCTTGTTACTGTTCCTCGTACGTCAGTCTCAAGGAATTGTCCACTTATTACCTTCGACCAAGAGGAAGAACCCCTTATCATTCTTCTGCAGGATCTGGATCGCCTTCCTGGTCATGTCGGCGATCGACGGGTCCCCGGTGGGTGTGGTGTCCCGCTCTACATCATACTGCATGTGGGACGCCTCGAAAAGGCCTGAACAAAGAGTGAGTGAGTGAGTTGGGTTTAACGCCGCTTTTAACAGTATTACAGTTATATCGCGGCGTGTCAGCTTAATGTGGGAGGAAAGCCCGAAGTGATGCAGGTCTCAGACGTTCACCACTTCGGTGAAACCCATGAGCACGGGTATGGTGCTGACAAACATAATTGGGGGGAACCGGGATTCGAACCCACAATGATAGGTTTCTGGCGTGCCCAAGGGACGTAACTCTGCACAGCGAATCGCGGCGCATTAGACGACTGGGCCAACAGTGCCCCCGTCAGGACCAGAGAATACCTTGTTTTTTTAGGGGTTTTAAGTACCACCATATGGCTTTTTTTTTCGCAGGTATATTCGATTATTCATACTTTTTCGAAAAGTCACATAAATAAATATCAAGCAGAGCCTCTGTCGACATCTCACCTAGCAGATAGTCAGTGTCTTTGGGGTCGATGGCAGCTAACTGTTGTTTATTCCACACATACTTGGCCGTTTGCCCTCCGAGAGAACTCTCAAATAACCATTCCTGTAATATAAGATACAGATGTTTTTAACCACACGTCCTTACCCACAATGCTTAATGAATGCACCTGCTCCACAACATTGACCTGGGTCCTTTACACAGATCGGCGTGCCGATCTGTATTACTGTTCATAGTCCAAGGTCTCAAAGAACCCTGGTCAGAGTAGCGTCACTTAGCTCATAGGGTCTGCTGTTTAGAAGTTCGAATCCCGGATTAATCTCAGTTATGAGTGAGTATGGTTTTACGCCGGTTTAAGCAATATTCCAGCAATATCACGGCGGGGGACATTAGAAATGGGCATCACACCTTGTACCCTGTCGGGATTCGGACCCAGGTCTTCGGCGTGACGAGCGAAGGCTTTAACCAATAGGCTTACCGACCGCCCCTATGAGAGAGTGAGTGAGTTTAGTTTTACGCCGCTTTGAGCAATATTCAGAAATATCATGGCGGGGGACACCAGTAATAGGCTTCACACATTGTACCCATGTCGGGAATCGAACCCGGGTCTTCGGCGTGACGAGCGAACGCTTTAACCATTAAGCTACCCGACCGCCCCAATGAGAGGGTGAGTGAGTATAGTTTTACGCCGCTTTTAGCAATATTCCAGAAATATCATGGCGGGGGACACCAGTAATAGGCTTCACACATTGTACCCATGTCAGGAATCGAACCCGGGTCTTCGGCCTGACGAGCGAACGCTTTAACCACAAGGCTACCCGACCGCCCCCATCTCAGTTTGGATCCTTGGCATGTGACAAAATTAAATACTGTTTTAAGCGGTTTCAACACGTCATGGTTCGGACAGAAACTTCATTTCGAATCCAATGTCATCTGATCCTTACACAAGGCTAGGGACGACACTCTGCACAGCTAGAACAGTGATTTAAACCACTGGGACCCGTGAAGATCGGGGGTAGAATAGGTCTTCAGCAACCCATGCTTGCTGCAAAAGGCGACTATGCTTGTCGTAAGAGGCGACTAACGGGATCGGGTGGTCAGGCTCGCTGACGTGGTTGATGCATATCATCGTATCCCAATATCCCAATGTCAAGCAGAGGTTTGTCTCGTCCAGAATCGATTATTGACAGACCACCGTCATATAGCTGGAATATTATTGAGTGGGGCGTTAAACAACAAACAAACGAACAAACCACTAGGCCAGCCAGGCCACTACACTGCAGCTGGAACAATCAATGTATTCAGTAAACATTCTGTGATACGGGACACAGCGAACCCCCATATTCCGGACAGTACTTATTAAACCAGCCGGATAAACAAGTGTCCAGATTAACGAATCATTTATTGTCGTCCATAAAAGACGTCTGTTTGTTTTTTGTTTTACGCACTTTCAACAATATTTTCGATATTCTCTTCTGAAGTTTGTTTGTTTGTTTGTTTGCAACGTTTCAGTTAAACGACGGCAACTGTTAATAATTGAGTCTGGCCCAGACAATCCAGTGATTTACATCAGCAGCATCTATCTACGCAATTTGGATACGATGAGGCACCTAATCGCCAGCACACAAAGGCACACAAAGTACGTGATCTAGACTACCAGTTGTCGGACTTTCATTGTGTGGAAACCTCGTTGGCTGAGTGGGTAAGATCACTGACTTTGTGTGCTGGCGATTAGGTGCCTCACTCTGGCGGTGCGGGTTCGAATCCCGGACGGGACTCAACCCACAAAAGTACGAGAACGTGTACTTTATCAAGAAAGTATTAGCCCAATTTAAACATGTGTGGCTTTTGTATAGTGTTGACGTTAATAGCAGTGATCAGAGAAATGGCCTTTGTATAGTGTTGACGGTACCAGCAGTGACCAGAGTAACGGCTTTTGTATAGTGTTGACGTTACCAGCAGTGATCAGAGTAACGGCTTTTGTATGGTGTTAACGTTACCAGTAGTGACCAGAGTATTGGCTTTTGTATATATAGTGTTGACGTTACCAGCAGTGATCAGAGAATTATGCCTTTTGTATAGTGTTAACGTTAACAGCAGTGATCAGAGTAATTATGCCTTTTGTATAGTGTTGACGTTACCAGCAGTGATCAGAGTAATTATGCCTTTTGTATAGTGTTGACGTTACCAGCAGTGATCAGAGTAATGTCTTTGTATAGTGTTGACGTTACCAGCAGTGACCAGAGTAATGGTCTTTGTATAGTGTTAACGTTACCAGCAGTGACAAGAGTAATGGTCTTTGTATAGTGTTGACGTTACCAGCAGTGACCAGAGTAATGGTCTTTGTATAGTGTTGACGGTACCAGCACTGACCAGAGTAATGGTCTTTGTATAGTGTTGACGGTACCAGCACTGACCAGAGTAACGGCTTTTGTATAGTGTTGACGTTACCAGCAGTGATCAGAGTAATGGTCTTTGTATAGTGTTGACGGTACCAGCAGTGACCAGAGTAATGGTCTTTGTATAGTGTTGACGTTACCAGCAGTGATCAGAGTAACGGCTTTTGTATAGTGTTGACGTTACCAGCAGTGATCAGAGTAACGGCTTTTGTATAGTGTTGACGTTACCAGCAGTGACCAGAGTAATGGTCTTTGTATAGTGTTGACGTTACCAGCAGTGATCAGAGTAATGGCCTTTGTATAGTGTTGACGTTAACAGCACTGACCAGAGTAAAGGCCTTTGTATAGTGTTGACGTTACCAGCAGTGATCAGAGTTATGGCTTTTGTATATCGTTGACGTTAAAAGCAGTGACCAGAGTAATGGTCTTTTTTATAGTGTTGACGTTTACAGCAGTGATCAGAGTAATGGCTTCTGTATAGTGTTGACGTTTTCGGTAAAGGGGACTCTGAAATAAACGAGGTTCGGTATAATGAAGTTTCACTATATGTCCTTCATACCTTGATGAGATCTCGCTGGTCGTGTCGGTGTTTGTATGTGCTGTTTGTCTCGGGGTCAATTTGGCTGGTCATCATAAACGCCCGTCGTCCGCCGCCCAGGATCACCTGGTTGGGAGACATCAACAAGACGATATATCACTTCAACATAGCAGTTACTGACCATCCTTTTTATGCGATGTGATACAAAATCACACAAAGCAAATGAAATCATAATATACTTGATCTCCCGCTCCCCACAACATTGTTGAATAATAATAATAATAATAATAATAATACGGAAATGATTGTTGACGTAATTCCGACAATACGGTTTGCGTGATGTATACGCCATTGTGACGTCATACGCATATCATTGCTGGCGTATTACAAATATCATTTTTGGCGTGCAATGTAATGACGTCACGATTGCTATGAAGTAGGGGATAGTTATATATAATAGTATATATAATACTAATCGAGCTCCCGTGTTATACCAAGTTTATGAAACGAGAGAAAAGTTCTGATATCTGACGAGCGAATATCACTGCAGTGAATTATCAAGTGTTTTGTGCACTGCAATGAAAACAGTGAGTGAGGTGTTACGCCGCTTTAAGCAATATTCCAGCAATATCATGGCGGGGGACACCAGAAATGGGCTTCACACATTGTACCCATGTCGGGAATCGAACCCGGGTCTTCGGCGTGACGAGCGAACGCTTTAACCACTGGGCTACCCGACCGCCCCTGTTTGTTGTTTACTAATATTGTTACGCCATATTGACGCAATTAAATCTCGAGGCGATTTTCAATACAAAAGTCGCTACTCCTTTAGTACAGCTAATAGTGAGTGAGTGAGTGAGTTGGGTTTAACGCCGCTTTTAACAGTATTCCAGTTATATCACGGCGTGTCAGCTTAATGTGGGAGGAAAGCCCGTCTCGGACGTTTACCACTTCGGTGAAGCCCACGAGCACGGGTATGGTGCTGACAAACCTAGAAACATAATCGGGGCGAACCGGGATTCGACGACAGCGAATACTTAAATGTGGGTAATATTTCTTATAATAATTTCATTCGTGCAATTATCCACTCATTTCATTACATTTGGGTCGCAAATACATATTTGTATGACTTATTTGGTAAAATAAGTATTCATAGCAAATCGTGCAATTTCTATCTAACATATCTGACAGTGTTTGATTCAGTATCACTAAACAGTGAAACCTCTTTCATCTGGACAGTTATGTTTCCAGTGACATCGGAAGTCTCCGGAATCACGGCGTGTGTGTACATATATTTATCTTACCTTATACGGATATATCAAATTCGGATTGGCTAAGAACCATTCAATTATTTTCAATGTACCCCTCTGACATGCACTGTAACTGTTGGCATTACATTTGCAACACACCAACCGCGATTTTGTATCTCGAATTAATAATGTGAGACGCCATTCTCCGGATATTTACGATATTTTCCGAATGAAATAGATCTAGGGGGAATAACTCTCAAGTTTGTTTTCTGTCGTCTCTTGTAAATGCCTAATTGTGATATTCCCCCCGATTCGGACCAAAGCATGAATGAAAAAGACATAACAGCAATATATTTGAGAAGGAGCTTTCGGAATAACGGGGTTATGTGTACCTGAATCTTCTTTTTCTCAATGAGTTGTAGAGCAATATCTTTGCAGGTCCCGTCCGTGTCGGGGGTTGAAATGTCAGCTTCCCAGTTCCGTTCTGGGCTATGTGCGTATGCGGCGGCGGGGGTAGCATGGGTGACACGTGTAGTCGTCACAAGGCCAACAGACTTGCCTGCAGCAAAGGAAACAGGGCTCAGTTGGCCAAGAACAAAAATACGACTATAAACGGCGGGTTCAACACAACCAAACTGCCCATAGATTAAGTATGTCCATGTATTTGTCAGACTTGTCGTTAACGGCAAATTTGAAAATCTAATTGGAATGATTTCCACACCACACGCTCAAAGCGCTATTATTACACCGATATCTGGATCAAAGTGCACTCAACAATCATTTTCAGCTTTTTAACCTGCTTGGCGTTGGCACCGGGCATCCATTTACTGCCCAAGGAGACACAACATGTGCTTTAGTGTGGGACTCTCATCAGGTCACCCATCCAAGTACTCTCCGCGTCCGACGTTGCTTAACTTCCCCTGATTTGTGACCTGTGCGCTGTACACAGGACCACGTGCCAAGAACGTAACTCCGGGTCAACTTGATAGTCTATTGGCGAGATCATTTAATTAAACCTTCATTGAAGATGCTCGTTAAAACAGATCAGAACTGTGAATAATGAAGTCAGGTAACGAAAAGACGGACCATTACTTTTTCACTTCGCACCAAATCACATAATAATATACCCGTGAAGTCATTACTGCTTGCAGGTGAGGTGAAATTGGGTTTAACGTCGCGTCCAAGATTATTGCACTTATATAGCGACGTACATGCACGTGTGTGTGTGTGTGTGTGTGTGTGTGTGAGTGTGGCTGCGTGTAAAAGTCAGGACTGATGCCGATTTATAGTGCTAGCTCACTGACATACCATGCCGCAGTTTAACATGAATACCCCACTCAGACACAGAATACTAACTCCGAGCCGACCAGTCCTCGCTTTAACCCCTTAATGCCGAGCGCTAGACAGGGTAACAACAAGTACCATCTTTTAACGTCTTTTGGTATGACGCGGCCGGGGATCTAACCCCGGACCTTCCGCTCTGCGGGCGGACGCTCTACCACTAGACCACGGAGGCGGCCATTACTGCTAAGAACGTCAACAGAGGCCATAGCCATGAGAACCAAGTGTACCTTTGATTCCTGGTTAATGAGGTTCAACTGGAGGTAACAATGATTTGTTTTGCTTTTATAGTATTTACAGCTTTGTGCTTATCTACGCCATAAACCAATCCTGTGAAATGTCGTTAGTCCGGGCCCGTTCATCAACAATGCAGGTCACGTCTGAACATCCGGGTTAGAATAGGTCTTCAGCAACCATGCTTGTCTTAAGAGGCGACGGGCTACATCCTATAACATTTAATAATCCTATAATATTTATACAAATTAAGATAGGGCGTTCAGGCTCGCTGACTTGGTTCATGCATGTTATCGCATCCCAACTGCGTGGATGGATGCTCCTGATGTTAATCACTGGATTGTATGGTCCAGACTGGATTATTTACAGACCGCCGTCATGTGGTTGGAATATTGCTGAGTGCGGCGTGCATCAACACATGCATCAACCGAGTCAGCGAGCCTGGCCACCCGATCCCGTTAGTCACCTCTTGCAACAAGTATGGGAAGCTGAAGATCAACTGCAACCCTGATCTTCACCTGTGTAATAATCGCATACGTTAGCACAACCTCAGGGGGCATCTTGAGGGGATATATGGCACTAATCGCTCGTGGAATATCACATGGGAAACTTACCCTCAGCGATTGCCCAGTCTACAATTGACGTCACTTCCGCTGCCTGCGCACTTGCACAGTTTCCCCTTGTAGCAGCGCTTGACAATCCAAGAGTACCCAGATTGGCCTTAACTCCGCACAGGAATGCTGTTCCTGTACCCGCAGAGTCTGGAGTTTGTCGGTCATTGTTATAAGTCTGCATAAAGAGTGAGAGAGTGAGTGAGTTGGTGGGTGGGTGTGTGGGTGGGTGGAGGGGTGTATGGTTGAGTGAGTGAGTGAGCGAGTGAGTATCCTCCGTTACGTTGAAAGCCGCTTTGATTTACATGAAATATACACTACAGCTCACAGCTATTTACCTCTTTACGCGATACATTTTTGCAAACGTTGAGCAAGCAGAGTTAACGCGGTGCATTTGCGGAATTTACGTGGTATGTTTGAGGAACTAATGCAGTAGGCCTGCGGAATTGAAGAGATTGATGCGGAATTATAGCGATCAGTTTGCGGAATAAACGCTGTAGGTTTGCGGAATTAATGCGGTAGGTTTGCGAATTGAAGCGTTAGCTTTGCGGAATTAGAGCGATAGGTTTGCTGAATTAAAGCGGTATATTTGCGTAATGACATTATCGTTCCGCCGTTGTATTGCGAAGAGCACATGAGGTGAGGTGAGGTGAAATTGGATTTAACGTCGCGTCCAAGATTATTGCACTTATATAGCGACGTGCATGCACATGTGTGTGTGTCTGGCTGCTTGTACTAGTCCGGACTGATGCCGATTTATAGTGCTAGCTCACTGAGATACCATGCCGCAGTTTAACATATATACCCCACTCAGACACAGTATACTGACTCCGAACCGACCAGTCCTTGTTTTAGCCCTTTAATGCCGAGCGCTAGACAGGGTAACAACAAATACCATCTTTTAACGTCTCTTGGTATGACGCGTATAATCGAGTATGGACCAGACAGTCCAGTCATTGGCATCATGACCATCGATCCACGCAATTGGATACGATGACATGCATCAACCAAGTCACAGGTCTCTCAGGAATGTACATGGGCAGCCAAGTGTGGACTTGGGCGAATGTTAAACCCACTAGGTTGTCATATAGCCCATCAAACATTATCCAAAAGGAAATATAACGCAGTCAACCCCTCATGTGACTAGACACATGAATAACGAACCTTGGATGGGAATATAAATCGTCAACGTCAGAGAATAACGTCAGAGAATAACGTCAACGTCAGAGAATAACGTCAACGTCAGAGAATAACGTCATAGAATAACGTCAACGTCAGAAAATAACGTCAGAAAATAACGTCAGAGAATAACGTCAACGACAGAGAATAACGTCAACGACAGAGAATAACGTCAACGTCAGAAAATAACGTCAACGACAGAGAATAACGTCAATGTCAGAGAATAACGTCAACGAAAGAGAATAACGTCAACGTCAGAGAATCACGTCAACGTCAGAGAATAACGTCAATGTCTCCATCAACGAGTTGACTGTATGTACTGCGCTATACAAAATATAGTAATCGTCAGTGTATTACCAACCTTTGACAATGCCACATTGGGAAACTTCTCGAACTCAAGCAGGGTTTCTTCGCCTGGGAAACCTTGACCTTGGCCTTTGTATATCCTCGCGGCCGTGACCGTGGAGACGCCCAAACCGTCGCCCAGAAAAAGAACGACGTTTTTGGCGACGTCGGTATAATCTCGTTTGTTTAATGCTTTATCCAGTTCGTCTTTTGCAATCTTCATCCATTCCTCATTTGCTGGAACACAGTGGACATGTATGGTTATGTTGCGAAATCGTGTTGTGGGGGTTATTAAAACAGCATCTTCCCGAGACAAGGGCGTTAACTGACGACAACAGTCCAGTTTCCACTGTTTGTGTGTCAACCGGGGGCGCCACTATCGTCTTCAGTTCGTTTCGTCTACAGTATTATCAAAACAAAGTTATGCACCGATGAATAGAGAGGTAATAAGCTGACACCTTCAGAAACATACAGAAGCATAAGAGAGCGTTGAATTTATTATTAAACAATGACCAAATTTAACATATCAAAATATACCAGAAGTCAAAGTGCAATATCCCTTATATCTAACATTTCAGCAAACTATGTTCTGAGAAATAATTGCTCTGTTAACCCAGTGAGTGACATCATCTATCTACACAATTGGGATACGATGACATGCATCAACCAAGTCATCGAGCCTGACCACCCGATCCCGTTGGTTGCCTCTTACGACAAGCATTGTCGCCTTTTGCGGCAAGCATGGTTTGCTGAAGGCGTCTTCTAACCCGGATCTTCACGGGTAAAATGCAATACTTACATTCAGCACGTGCAGTGTGCTGACCAATCACCAACAGGACGACCAACGCAGAAAACATCACCAGCTGCTGAAAAGATTCCACATTTTACTGTGCGTGATCATAATAATGTGTCACTGAGTGCACCAGTGATGGAATTAACATAGGTTAATCCACCTTCATTCTGTGACCTGCATGAAGAAGACAATCTCACATTAAGCTGACACGCCGTGATTCAACTAGAATATTGTTCAAAGTAGCGTTAAACCACTCACTCACTCTTCTGGATGGACTTCACCGGACATTCCTGGGGCGTTCACTGTTACCCATGCTTTTCAACTCGACCATTGACCTCGTACACTGCTGTCAACGTCGCCCGACGGCGCAGGTCGTTGATCATGCCGTCAGCAGGTGAAAATTTACAGGGCGTCGTGACATTCTTCAAATTTTGCTGTCTGCGGCTTTAAATAACATTAACTCACTCGCTCCATTTTGAGGCTTACCCCATCTTCCTGCTTGGGGATCTCAGGTGAAACATTTACTCATTGTACGAATGATTTCACACATGCATACCAAGTTTAAATCGAATAGTAGTCAAGATATCATTTGACATCATTAGGGCGCACGCAAGCACGCACGCACGCACGCACGCACGGAGATGCACCTTTATCTTATATGATCAACTTTCAATGCTGATGACGTCAAAATATACAAAAAGTAAAATTCCAAAAATATTGATCGATTCTTAGATCACGTTAGAGAGCAAATGCTAAAGAAACAGTACCCGATTCGACCCGTGAAGATTCCGGGGTAGAATAGGTCTTCAGCAACCCATGCTTGTCGTAAAAGGCGACTAACGGGATTGGGTGGCCAGGCTCGCTGACATGGTTGATGCATGTCATCGATCCCAATTGGATGGATCGATGCTCATGATATCGATCACTGGATTGTCTGGTCCAGACTCGATTATTTACAGACCGCCGTCATATAGCTGGAATATTGCTGAGTGCGGCATTAAACAACAAACCAACAACCAACAAGTACCTGATTCACACACAGGGCTAGCTCTATTCCACAGACAGCCATTTCAGTGCTGTAATTTGTGCAACATTACTCCCAGTTTAATCGGTACTGCACCTCAGCAAGATAAAGATGACTTGTCAGGACTTGAGCTGTCGCTTTACATTGAAACATACTACTCAAAATAAGTTAAGGACCACCGACTCTTTCATATTACTATGATAGTTCATCTGTCATGCCAAGACACATTAACTACAAGTATAGGAACATTTCGTAATCAATCTAAATGTCTTCAATGCAAAGATAGTGCTTTCTGCTAGGGTTGTATGACTTCATATTTAATCTTTCATTTCCTCCGTTTCGTCGATAGCGGTACAGCCCGGAGTGGGAAAGATTGGTGATTCCCGCGTCATGCCAAAAGACGTTAAAAGATGGTACTTGTTGTTACCCTACCTGGCGCTCGACATTCAGGGGCTAAAACAAGGACTGGTCGGCTCGGAGTCAGTATAGTGTGTCTGAGTGGGGTATTCATGTTAAACTGCGGCATGGTATGTCAGTAGGCTAGCACTATAAATCGGCATTAGTCCGGACTAGTACAAGCTAGTACAAGCAGCCACACACGCACGCACGCACGCACGCACGCACGCACGCACACACATACACACTGATCATGAGTGTCTGAGTGGGGTTAAAATGCCACATGGTATCTCAGAAGGCTAGCACTATAAACCAGCATTAGTCCGAGTAGCCACACACACACGTGCATTCGCGTCCGTCCGCAGTCTATTGATTGTACGAGGGTACAGGAGCATTAATATCCCATTTCGTTCCCTCATATATCTTCACACATGTTTTGTTACAAATATGCAGTAGTATGCAAACACGGATTCACCTTATTTGAAAAGGAGAAACCAATTTGCGATTTGGAAATTTGCTTTAGGTAATAACGTCAGTTTGTTGAAAATACATCACCAAATGAGTCAGTCATTGTGTTGCTCTTACCTGTCCTCTACGATTTCCCGATAATTATTAACATTTCTGAAATTATAAAAGCTAAGTGTGCTTAAAAAAAACACACCAAAAAATCCGGATCCGCGCACCACTGTTAATTATTCCGTGTCAGTGCACAACTGACGTAGATCCAGTTAAGTCGGAAGTACGTCTGACAAGAGCTGCGAACATTTATAAATAGATTTTGAGAAATAACCAAATAAATCAAACTGACAGATATTGTGAAAAGAGTAAAATACCTCAACATCCGCTTGAAGGTCATCCGCGTGTATTCGTGTTGTATAACGGTAAAAGAACCCATTGTATAACGGTAAAGTAACGCCTTACGAGCAGTGGTACAAAGGGTTGGAAGGACACGAGGTGTAAGTGCATACTTAAAGAAGTAAAGCCTTGTTCTTTGTACTTAATAGCATTACGTAACCGCGTTAAACTTTAAGTACATTAGAAAAACGTGTCTGTGAACCTTAGAGATCTACTGCGCCGAGAGGCAGATATTTGCGGCGGCTTCGTGACGGCAGATTCATGGAGCCGAGTGCACGACGTCGTCGAGTGTCACGTATTATATGTAACAGCACATCCGATAAAAATATTGCTCATCTGTGATCTTTCAAAGCTGTCACATGCTTCAAGACATACGCATTTCATTGATTGAGAGCGGTTTGGGAAGGGTCATTGGCGTCAAAATTATTTTTTTTCAAGTTTTGTTTCCTTTGAGACTGGTGTAGAAATTAAATGGGAAATTGACATGAAAATACACTTCAGCGAATTGCGCAAAGAACATTGATATTGCCGTCGAATTTGAAAATTTGATAGAAAAATTTAAATTTTTAAGTGTGACTTTTAAAAAATCATTAAGAAAGAATAGATTCTCAAAAGCATGCATCTGGGGTCCGTTGTCAGCCCAAATGAACACTAGTATGCCTTTAATATCTAAACAAAAGGCCAGATATTTTCGAGTTGCACTGTCTGTAATTCTATAGCATGACGATGTGATAAAAAATAAGGGACGGTCGGGTAGCCTAGTGGTTAAAGCGATCGCTCGTCACGCCGAAGACCCGGGTTCGATTCCCGACATGGGTACAATGTGTGAAGGCTAATTCTGGTGTCCCCTTCCTTGATATTTCTGAAATATTGCTAAAAGCCACGTAAAACCATACTCACTCACTGATAAGAAATAAAATCACAGTAAATGTTTATTTTGCCCTTGAGTATACAACAGTCGCCAAGCGCATTCCACGTACAAGGGAAGTTATGCTGGGCATATTCCTCGCGAGGGTGTCCCGAAATTCGGCAACAAGAAATGAATTTACCGTTCCTGTTCTCATCCTCACCTTCACCTTGAATATTTGCAAAGTCAGTGTAAACATGGATTATGGGTTGTTTTGTCACATGGGCTACATGTTGACATGCGCAGTGTTCATTCATTTGTCAAATGTCAGCTAGGGTCTTTTAGAATTTGTTTAAGAGATTTTTCAATGTGGTGCCAATGACAAATACAGTGAACTACGGTTATAACGAACACGCTTATTACGAACTGATGGATATAACGAACTTACTTTTTGGTCCAGACTACTTGCTGTAGTCATGCTGTATATGTACTTATAACGAACTACGGTTATAACGAACTAAAATTAGTAGTCCCTTTGAGTTCGTTATAACCGAAGTTTACTGTATAGATCTCATGTTATATATTCCTACTTTATCTTATCATGTTATATTAGTGATAGATACACAGCGAGCATGTTATATTAGATGAAGAAGATGATGATGAAGAGTGAGTGAGTGAGTTGGGTTTAACGCCGCTTTGAACAGTATTCTAGTTATATCACGGCGTGTCAGCTTAATGTGGGAGGAGAGCCCGAAGTGATGCAGGTCTAAGCGGTTTCCACGTAAGTGACATCCACGAGCACAGGTATGGTGCTGACAAACCGAAAAATATAACCGGGATTCGAACCTACGATCATATTTTACGTTCGTAGATTTCTTTCAAATATATGGATTTATTTTTATAATAGATTCTTCAGTGGTAAATAGAATATTGATAATGTTTTGAAATGATGGTTCTGCATTTTAAAAAGATTTGGGTATCCATTTTCCCTGATTTTTGTGAAAAATAGACAAATTAACAGGAAATCATATGCATTTTCTATTTCGGTAAGGTTACATTTCGTCCACGCACTAAGCAATGGGTCTGTCGTGTTTTCTGCATTCAGTTTCAGTTGAAGTAGATCTCATTAAATTTTACATTCCGAAATAGACAGCTATTTCTCTTGGTGAAATATCTGTTTATTACAGGAATATACTTGCAGGAAAGGAGATTTGTTGAGTGATTGGTTGAATGATTGGTCGAGTGATTGATTGAGAGAATGGTTGAATGATTGGTTGAGTGCCTGGTTGAATGATTGGTTGCGGCGTGATTGGTTATGTGATTGTGAACCCGCTGATTAATATTTGAACCACTGGTTTGTTGGTTGGTTGGTTGATTGAGTGATTGACTGGCTATTCCACGACCACCTGATCTGGAATCGGACAGACAAAACCAGTATTTTCTAAGCCGTCGGAGTCAAAGATACGAAACAATGCAGGTCACAAAGTGTGACAGCTCAATCGTCATTGAACTCGACACGCTTAGTGTGAAAATCTACATCGCAGACCGAGAAAACTCGAAATAACTTTAAATTTCCAGTAAATTATTTTTTCCCACTGATTAATTGTCAAGCAGTCCAAGGTTATTATTTATAGCGATAGCGTTACTATGATCTCATATTTATATGAAATACAATCACTAATTAAAATTCACTATAATTTCCAATTCCAAAGGGTAATTAACAGCTGTATGAGAATTAACTTTGATAGATGATATTATTCTCTACGAGAGTTCGGATCCGTTTCAGCATAAACTTGTCTCCCGTTCCATTTGTTGAACCTGAAGATTTACCATGGGGCGGTAGGGCCGGGGTTTCAGTGTGTCTGACGTTCATTGGTCAGTGATCCACCGTCGCGATGTATCTGTCCATGACACGAAATCACTTCAGCTGCCCCAGGCGACTGGAAGCCAT